TAAAACTAATAGACGAAAGTGAATGGTTTGGTAATCTCTGGAACGACCGCGGATTGGTAAACGGTAATAAGTTACGGACTTACCGGAAATTCAAAAAAGATTCAAAACCGGAGCATTATGTTCGACAATACATGCCTAGGCCTTACCGGAGCGTTCTGACCAAATTGCGATGTGGCAGTGCTGCCCTTATGATCGAGACTGGTCGTTTTAACAGTCCCCCGACCCCCCTTAATGAACGTTTTTGTCCATTTTGTCCACACACCGTGGAAACAGAAGTTCATTTTTTATGTGAATGTCCTATTTATAGTGACTTGCGTTTTATTCTGTTTTACCGTATGAGACAATTATGTGATACTTTTAATATCTGTGATAATGATGAAAAGTTTAATTTGTTGATGGACAATGTAGATATTCAATATTTCTTAGGCAAGACTGTATTTTTAATGTTCCGCAGGCGGAGAGTATTTTTATGAAATTTCTACCTATTTTAGTGGTTATTATTATTTATTAAATAGGTTATAATCTGTCTTAACACTTAAATGTACGTATATTGTTATTTTGGTTACAATATTTTACTTGTACATTATATCATTATATATTGCAACGTTAGTAGCTATTTTATACTGCACGACTAATTTCAAAGTGTGTATTATCGTTTTTTAAGTGTCTCATAAGCCAGTAATGGCTGGATGTTAATATAGTTTTACCTGTATTTGTAATATATTGACTTATTTGATTTATGTATATTAACATGTGACACTATAATAAAATATTTTATTGATTGATTGGTAAATAATCTACCTGTACTATACCAGAACAGACTATAATGACACCTCTATTGTTTTCCAGTGTTTATATAATTCCTTTGATCAGAAAAAATGGGAGAAAGGAGAGCAAACCATATGAGGATAGCGAGGTAACATAAGTGGAAGTGCATACAATACATACATTCATTAAAAAAAAAATCGCCTTTTCACGTGATGTCCCTTTAACAAAAAATGTCGAGTTCAGTTTTCGGTAGGGGTCAAAGTTCAAATGCACTATATTGGGTAACAAATTAAAAAAAAAACTTCTCCTTAAGTTCTACGAGGTCTAGAGTCTTGATATTAAATATATAATATGCTGAGATGTACAGCTATCAGGTATGACCAAATAGTTGACCTTGACCAATAATCAAGGTCTCAAAGGTCAAATGTTTAGAAAATTAAATTGTCTTTAATCAAGAATATTTCGAAAATTGTTCGATAGATTCACTTTATTTTCAGGCATGCTGTTGACAATACCAATGCGCATATTTTTGGCAAAACATTTTGAGTTGACTTGGTCAAGTTTTGAGTTATTTAGGGGTCACATTTCTTATATGCTATTTCAAGGGAACGACTTCAATTTTTTTTCTTCTGAAGTTGTACTCTAGAGTCTTGGTATTTGATCAGTCTGTTCTACACTGTCACTTAATTAATCTTACTGTGCCCTACCTTACAATAAACCAACAACACCATACCTGCGATTGCCTGTCACACAGAAGCACTGCAGCGGCATTTAATCATGATCACATCAAATTAATACACATTGAAATCACATACATGCATATCTTTCGCTTTGCACAATCCTATCAACTAAACCTTGCAAATGCACCTTGTAGGTTGAAATGCATCCTGGGCTAAAAACCAGAGAGAAAACTACACGAGTCCAAAAACTCTGGAAAACCGTGGACGCCTATCACTATATAAATCCTGATAGCTTATTCTCTAAAATATCTGCAATCGGTTAACTTTGATTTATGGACAAAAGCCACAGAATGTAATTAAATTATTATCGCTACATTAAGCAGTCTAGTTCTCAAAACAAACTATCCGTGCATCTGTACTCATCCTATACACTACAAGTATTAAAATATTAATACTATTTATAGTATTTGCTGAAAAATATTAATGAAAGAAACCCAACCGTCTGGGTCAGGTTCAACAGGCTAGAATGACCCGGTTTCACACTCTCCCACCCTATACCGTCACCTGCACGTGCAACAGCACCTCGTTACACCTAGCCAATCAGATAACAGCTCCTAGCGAATACGAACAGACATATATTTCCTGCTTTTACTGCGAACCACAGGAAAATACCAATCACATGGTCAGGTAATTTGCTACCAACTTTGTAAAAAGGGAGTGACCTTGGTCGACTTTCAAGGTCACAGAGGTCATGTATATAACAAGAGGCCCATGGGCCTTAACGGTCACCTGATATATTTATACAGAGAGTTGATTTTGTTTTTAACATGAACAGAAATATTATTCAAAGTGACAAAAAAACAATAAAACCACCTTATTCAATATCTAGCATACAGATTTAAGACTAAAAAGTATTTGAAACTAGCACCTCCGATTCTAAACAAGGAAAATGAAGAAATTTTAGCACACTGACACTTTTGGGCCCCACCCTACAGCCCTTGGGGTAGGGCTGGCTCAAAATTTTCAAAGTATCAAACTGTCAACTCAGGGTTATAATTCCAATCAAGTTATTAACATGTAATATTCAAAGTATCATTTGCCATTATAAACCATAATAAATATTGCCCCCCCCCCTCCTTCCCCAGGGGGTAAACGTGAGACCCAAGGGTCATAAACCTTAAGAACCTTCCATTTATGAAGAGTGTTTGATTCTACCATATCTGGATCTTTGAGAAGAAGTTTTTTTTAAATTTCAGTCAATTCAACCCTTTTTGACCCCATCCATCAGCCCCGGGTGTCAGTGAGGGCTGCTATGTGCATACCATCAAACTGCTATCCAATACTGATAATGCTAACCCAAATTGAATTACTTCCAATGGAAATTTAACAATATTGGTCCAAAATGTGATTTCCCTATATAAACTAGAGTAAAGTTTACCCCCTCCCCAGGGGTTAACGTGAGACCCAGAGAGTATTTGATTCTACCATATCTGGGTCTTGAGAAGAAGATTTTTGAAATTTCAGTCAATTTGACCCTTTATGGCCCCTCCCATCAGCCCCGGGGGATCAGTCAGGGCTCATAAGTGCATACTATCAACTTATACCTAATACTGATAATGCTAACCTAAATTGAATTTTGACATATATGTGTATCAACAGACGGGGCTATATCCTGTTGAGAATCCATTATAAATATATTGATATTAATTTATACCGGAATGACATATTAAATTAAATATATCAGCTATAAGATAAATATTCATTGCATACAATGTTGACCATAACGAGTTAGCCTCCTATCCAGGAAGAGGATAATATTCAACACTTGCATATAAAATTTGTTTTGAACTGAAGAATTGTACGGTTAGAACTTATGTCATATGATAATGATTTCTTATGATTGGTGTCCACTCTCTACAACTCCAGGTCAAATTACTGGAATTTACCTGAACGATTTCCTCAATTATATAAGTCTGCAAACTCTATTTTAAGAGTTTGTGTACTATCCCGCACGTCAAAACGCGGAAGTATATCGTTTCCGCTGTAAATGTTACTTTACACTGTGATATCAACAAGGATGTTTAAATGAATTACGCTTTTTCCTTATTAGTGTATTAAATACAGTGTATATTGAAATATTTATTTGACATGGAATTAACTTACACATTATTTGGTGGTGTATTAGATTAGATTAGATCTTTTAGACTGTCGTCTAAAGACATTAAACAGGTCAGGCTAGGAGCGGTAACATATGTGTGTCACATATTTTAAAAACCTAATGAAATCGTTATAGATTCTACTGAAGCTTTTGTTTGCGGAAATTAAACTAACCTGTTTTTAATTTTGAAATGGATCTTTCAAGATATAATTATCACACGATTAATATACTAAGTGATCTACACACTAATGTGACGTGTAGTATTCAATATTAAAGTTAATGTCTAAATACATACCTTAGTAATATTTGTAAATATAAGCGTTTGGGAGGCGTTCTTACAACATGTAACGCATGCGCAATACCTATTCTAAAAATAACGTTTGTTTTAAAAATAGTAATTCAGAGAGTTACGTTTGAACAGGATTAGCCTGCAGATCTATACTATATGTGTCAATGCAGAAACGGGACTTTTCCCCGTGGTTTCCCCTACATTTTGTATGTGGTTTTCTTACTATAAACAGGGATGTGTAGTGGAAAATGCATAGAAAATGTTTATCGAACTGAATAAAATGTATGGTTAAAACTTATGTCAAAAGACAATGATTTTCCTTATATGAGTTATGTCCACAAGGCAAATTACTGGAAATTACCTGTACGGTTTCCTCATTTATATAGGTCTACACACTCAATTTTAAGAGTTCGTGTAATATTCGCATGTCAAATCTTACGGAACTTTCGTTTCCGCTGTAAAGTTACGTTACGCTGATCTATGGTGTTTCCTAATCAGCGTATTAAATGCAGTGTATGTTGTAATATTTATTTGACATCGAAATAGCTAACACGTATAGATTATCATCTTATGACATTGGGTATTTAAGGCCAGGATTGCCATATATCCTAGTTAGGTGTTACCATTGAATGGTGCTGTCAATACTTGTATCTACAATAGAATACACTACCATATATATACAGTACACATCCTGTCGACAAGTGCCACCACGACAATATATTTTGCTGACTACAAAAAGATGATATAAATATATACAGTGTATAACATTATAAACTAATTACAGACAAGCACACGTTCAAAGAGAAAATGATCTTAATAACCACATAAGACAATTTGACCTATCGTGAAATAATATAAAAGGACTGGCTATTGATCTTAGTGCAGAAATGATATACTGACGTATAAAGACAAAACGACAGTATGAATGACAAAAATACTCACTGGGTATGTTTAATCACCGTCTACTCTGTCATATTGTAGTGTATTTACACCCGCTGACATTACCTGAAAAACAGCCAAGGTAAGGTAATCAGAACGAAATATGATATAGACCAGTAGATTTTGTATATCATAACAATAAACCTCTTACACCAGTTAACAGTTAAGTGCAGCACCGTGTGTACGGGCAGGTTTATCGGACCTGCACATATTACATCGAAGTTCTGACACCTATTAATTCCAACCATGTACACGTACATTAGCGGAGATTGGACTCAGCACAGCCATAGTTAACCTTTTTGTTTGACGTATATAGTAAGATAAAGAGCTCACCTGATATTTAGATTTATCACGTTTCATCATGCAATAAGCACTTTGTTGAAATCAACATCAACTCTGGACAGGAGTTAAATAATTACTTTACATTACTCCCAAACAGATTAATTTTATTTACAAAATATTTATTTTAGTCACATTTGTTTGGACAACATTTAAGCACGCAGCTTTCTCAGAGGTAAAATGATAATCACAGAGAAAGCCACGTGTTTTAATGTTGTCGATAAGACATATAAGTTACAACACAAGTGACAATTATAAACATTCTGTAATTTTGAAATTAATTATATCAAGACACAAGTGGACGCATACATCTTCTGACCTTGACTTGCATAAATCATACGAATAAAATTTGGAAAATGGAACTGTTTTTTGTTTGTTTTGCTGTCATGCTGTTGCTAGGGCCCTAAGCGAAAGTTTATGTTTTCCCGCGAAAACAAGTAGTTCTCTCTACGGTGTTTCCCCCGTGTAAAAATAGAAAAAAAACCTGTATTTTTTGTTCGTTGCATCGGAAAATTCAAACACTTAAAACATGTAAGTATAAGGAATGAAATTATGTTTTCATTCGCTAACGCGATTCATGGAATATGTCCAGAAAACCAACGTTGTTCTGACCTCATGAATGTTGAAAAAATAAATTTCATTCCTTAAATAATAATTCACATCATCAAAAATATTTCTTTATTGATTATTTTTAGTAACACAACTACCATGGAGAGGAGAAATTTCTACACGTATCAGTAAGAATATTATAAAAATCCAAGAATATATCAGTTTTCTAATAACTATTTTGTAAAATGACCAATATTGTATACATTGTTGTACAAGTTATTCTCAACATATAGTGAAATTTGATTGATTGAACTCTTAGAGTATACAAAGGGTAGTATCTCTTACCGCCTCACAGGTGTGGGCTCAATCCTCTCAATGTTAATACATTGTAAGTTAATCAAAATCAAAGTGTATCCGTCTGTCTATACATGAATAATTACTTTATAAAACTGAACAATTGATGTTTTTGATTTATTCTTTTCTTTTTATATTTCCAGAGTTTCTCTTTCACAATTACAGTACATAAATAGACATTGTCACGCTTTTTCTTACATATGCACTGTGAAATGTGTACAAAGTTCTGTCCATTTTATCAGGATGTTATATTTCATTTTCTTTGCTCTTGCAAAAGGTTGATGAGAATAAAGGAATTTAACCTGGAAAAGGCCCACTATTTGTATGTATATTTTATTAGTCTGGACAAGAATTGCATCTTATATTAAGAAAAAATATGTTTTAAGGCCAAAGATATAATATGGACACCAGTACGCTAGCACACAGAATACTTGTCACTAAAGTGTTCAATGTTCATGTAAATAATTAACAATAGTTATTTATATCGGAATGAGATACTTTATATAACAGAAGAAAAAATATATATTGTATAACATTTGTTGATCACATAAAGCTAGACTGCTATCCAGGAGAGGATAATCGTTAACAATTGCATATAAAATGACTATCGAACTGAATAAAATGTATGGTTAAAACTTACGTCAAAAGACAATGATTTTCCTTAAATGAATGGTGTCCACTCTCTACTAATACAAGTCAAATTACTGGAAATTACCTGTACGGTTTCCTCAGTTATATAAGTCTGCACACCTAATTTCAAGAGTTTGTGTACTATCCCGCACGTCAAAACTCGCGGAAGTATATCGTTTCCGCTGTAAATGTTACTTTACGCTGTGATATCAACAAGGATGTTTAAATGAATTATGGCGTTTCCTAATCAGCGTATTAAATACAGTGTTATTGTAACATTTATTTGACATCGAAATAGCTAAAATATATAGACTATTATCTTATAACATTGGGTAGCTAGGATTGCCATATAAATCTATACGTCAAAAGTGGTGTTGCCAATACTTGTATCTACACCAGAATAAGTTATAATTCTAGAACATATATTCACGGGGGTAATCCCGATACTTGCTATTTCGCTTACGTCAGAGTAATACTTGCTGTTTGGATTACGTCGGAGCAAAAAGTTAGTTTTGCATTAAATACGGCTTGCGGCAGAGCAAAATGCTCCCATGATGGAAGAACGTGGGAGGTATTTTTGCACTTTCTTGTATAAATACTGAAAACGTACCATTGTCACTCAGTCTATATGCTTTAAGTATGTCTTAAGCTGCTATATCAATATTTATGTTTTTAGATTGAATAGGTTTTGACTAAATAATCATATATATATACGGACATCAGTTTACAAACAGCTTTGTGGAGATTTGAATGTAATAACTGTTTAATTTAATTACTTTTACACAGCATATGTTTTGGCCAATGACTCATCAACAAAACAACATTGAATAGACTGAACTAAACACAGGTTTTAGCGATATTTTGATCAAAATATGCAGTTGGTATATATGCTGATATGGATTACGACCTTGTATGATACGGAATCCGTTCATTTACAAACTTGAATGAATATTTAATAAACGAACAACTGTGGTCCGAACGGTTTGGCCGTTTCAACGAAACGGCCCTGGACGCTCAACATCAGGGGGTAATTACCATATTTAAAAAAAATCCGTTGAAATTGGCCCCATAGTTTTGGAGGAGTTGTCTGGACAAACATTTTTCAACAAAGGGCCAATACTCCGTCAGATTGATCAAATAATATCTGGATGCACAACATCAGGTGGTAGTTATTATATCTGAATCCTTTGAAATTGGCTGAGTAGATCAGAAGAAGTTGTCAGGACAAAGATTTTTCAAGAGAGGACCATAACTCCACAAAAAAGGTGCAAATAAAATTAAAAAAAACCTGGACGCACAATATCAGGTGTTAGTTTATCATATCTGAAAATTTTCGTTGCAATCAGCCCCGTAGTTTTGAAGGAGTTGCCCGTACAAAGATTTTTCAACAAAGGGCCATAATGTTGCAAAAAAATGTCTCAAAATGAAAAGAGAATACCTGTGTGCACCTCTTCAGTGGTAGGTATCACATATCTGGAAAGTTTCGTTGTCCGGCCAAAACTTCGTCAAAAAGGGTCAGAATAAAAAAATGTTACCTGTATGCGCAACTGCAGGTGGTAGTTATCATATCTGGAGAGTTTCGTTGAAATTGTTCACTTTAGAAGGAGTTGTATGGACAAACTTTTTCTAGGGACAGACAGACGGATGGACAGACATGCTTATTCCAGTATACCCCTAACTTCGTTACGGGGGTATAATAACATGTCAAACTTGCTTACTCAAGTTATATAACAAGTATATGACTGACATGTTGAGGGTATGTAACAAGAGTAACATAAATTAATTTTCAAAGTTACTTTGTCTCTCAGAGCTATTAATTTGAAGATAACCTCTTGATCTGTTACAGATCTAAGAACATGCACACGATAGAACGACAACTTCAACAGAGTTTAAACAAACTACAAAATTGGGCAGACGAAAACAGCATTAAATTCTCTAAATCTAAAATTGTGTGCATGCATTTCTGTCAAAAACGAAAAGCACACAATGACCCAAATCTAACACTCGATGGCACTAGAATTCCTGTTGTTGAACAGACTAAATTTCTCGGCCTCATTTTTGGTTCGAAACTCTCTTTCATACCACATATAAAGTATCTGAAGGATAAGTGTTCCAAGGCGTTAAACATAATATGAGTCCTTTTCATACTGATTTGGGAGCGGACCGTGAAATGCTTCTGCGCCTATACAGATCACTTATTCGAACACAACTAGATTATGGTTCTATGGTATACGGGTCGGCGCGGAGTTCTTACCTGCAGATGCTAGACCCAATCCATAATCAAGGGCTACGTTAAGCTCTTGGAGCTTTTCGAACAACACCTGTCAAAAGCCTGTACGTGGAAGCGAATGAACCATCCCTTTATGACAGAAGGAAAAAACTTGCGTAACAGTTTGCAGCTCAATTAAAATCAAACCCTAAAAATCCTGCTTTCGACCAAGTATTCAACCCAAAATACCAAAACATATTTACGCAAAACCCAAAACTTCTGACAACATTTGGTATCCGAACTTTAAATTTCCTGCAAGAACTCAACATAAAGTTGACTGACATAGCTGAATTTAACATATCTGATGTTCCTCCGTGGACCATTCAAACACCTGATTTTAACTTTGCATTACATGAGCGAGGGAAATCTAGTGTTATGCCCGAAGAACACAAATCCTCCTTTCGGGAATGCATTTCGAATAACCCTTCTCATACACAACTTTACACCGATGGTTCCAAAGAAGGTAAGAAAGTGGCAGCAGCCTGCTGTACTGCTAATTCTTGCAATTCAGTTCGACTACCAGACGGCGCCGCCATCTTTTCTGCCGAAATATGCGCCATTGGTTTGGCCCTCGACCATGTTGATGAACACCGCATTAAGAAGGCAATTATTTGTTCAGACTCTCTATCTGTCCAACAGTTACGAGATCCTAAAAACACACTCGTACAAAACCTTGTTCTTCGAATATCTCGTATCTTAAAAATGTCTAAAATAACTTTACTATGGATCCCGAGCCATGCCGGAATTAAAGGCAACGAATTTGTTGACAAGGAAGCAAAGCATGCATTGAATCTCCAACAGACAAATATCAAACTACCATATACAGATTTTAAACTAATTATTCGTACAGCCATTCAAAATGAATGGCAGCAACGCTGGTCTCTCGAGACCAGCAACAAACGTTTTAAAGTACAACCAAGCCGAA